GCACTCCCAATCCATATATAACATACCGGCTACCCAGCCAGATGCCCTACACGATCAACTAGTACCTGTTCAATCCCAGCATCTAACAGATTGAAACTTCAGGAAGGTGCACCGTAAGTTCCGAGTTCTTACCGAATGTCTTTCAAACCTGCAGAAGCAACTGTGCCATGCGAAACGCCACGAACGCAACAGTTAATGCCGGATTATATTCTACACGAATGGAAGAAATGCTCCACATGTTGCACGGTTAGCATTTAAGTATACGGGACGGGGGCTATTTCACAACTGGCCATAGCCACACAGCAGCAGTTATCCAGGGCAAGATTGCATACAAAGGGGTACATGGTTAGGCACAACTGCCAAACGCCCTAGCATGAGGGGACAGCTTGAGCTTGAGAATGCATATATTGGAACTGGGCATTTCCGGTGAGTTGCGCAGTTCCGCCTCAGTTGCACACTTCCTGTTGGAACACGCAAACCCTGAACCACAATTTCGTATCTTAAAGATCTTTGGAAAATGAGCCAGAGGAGTGTGAACAGAAGCCTACCGACAGAACGGAACTCTTTCAAAGATGGCAGGGAAAAACCAAACCCGCTAACGGTGGACAGCGTGATCCGCCTGCAACCAGCGCTTCTGCACAAGCGCCTTATACACTGATGTCAGTGTCGCGCTGTGGAACTGTGGGCTAACTAGACAGTTTTGCTTGAACCGACTGAGTAGCAAACACTGATGCGTTTGCCAGACGCCAACATCCACAAACAGCAGAAATGTTCACGAAACGCACAAGCTTTTGCAATTTAATGCGAATGAAAAGATAACGGCATCTAGCCTCCCCACGGGAGCCAAGTGCTCGCGTGCTTATGCTAGTGTAGGACAGGTGGGATGACGGTTCAGAAACACCCACTAGTCAAGCTATCGTGACTTCGTTCAAGGGTTGTTACTATTAAATGAAACACATTGGTTGAAGCCTTTGGGGCTAAACTACGCCATCCTAAAATTAGACTATTTATGGTTTCAGCGTTCAAATACGGCATCTAGGAAACTGTGCAATTTGCGGCTTTTGGATAAGCATAGACGCGAAAACCCACGGACTGATGTTGCAAAGGCCATGTGCTACTTTTTATCGAGCCTGCAGCAAGGAAGATGCAAACAAGCCGCAAGTATGACAGCAGGAGGCCAACTGTAGCAAAATTGTGAGACAACTGATGAACGCAGGCATGCGTCATTAGGGAAAGTAAATAACTCGCTCGCACTATGGGTTTGGTACACGGAGGTTGGCGAAAAATTGGTGCCGAAACGTCGATTCTCAAAGCAAATGAGGTTCGTGTAGCCAATGTCAGCATGCCCAGAGTTATGGCAATAAGCTACACTCGAAAACACGGAATTTGCACCCAAACAAGCAACGCAAATATTAGAAGCACGGCAGCTATTAGACATTTCAGCCTAAAGGCCGAACGTCCCCCTTATCGGAGGTACATGAGACGCACACCCTGCTTACCATTGAAAAATGAGTCTCCCTGTGTGTGCACCGCAAAACTGATAAGGCGGAAAGGTCCAGAAGTTTGATGAAGCAAGACAGGCAGAAGGTGGAAACGCATGTTCTTGGCCTAACGAAGCCCGTTGCAGCGCTACCCCGTAAACCCTAAACATGGGCGAGACGCCCGCTTATTCCCTGTCAGCATTTCCGCGTCGCACCGGGCATTCCTAGTTTGCAGAAAACGTCGCAACGTCACACATTGGAAAATAAATTTGGTATACGCCGCAACCGCACCTACAGGGTTCCCAAGGGTCAGCACCCTTTTGATGTCGTGGGTAACAGCCTATGAACGTCGCTAGTGTTGCATTGGACATACAGTCTTGTTGAGGCACGAGATGTTTCCGGTTGCTCCAGCAGCTCCGCCGCAGATGTGGTTCGCCGCAGATGTGGTTCCTTCTCTAGGACTCTAGGAATCGTTCACGGTGCGGCCAGCATCCATGAGCATGCAAACAGTTGCATGCAGGAGCACGCATATACTGTCATTTCTCGTGGATGGCTTACGCTAAAGGGGCAACTGGGAGAAACTAGTACATGGCTGTGCCGTCTGCGCAGTTTAGGTTTATGCTTCTCCTTTCGGGCAACGCGTATAAGCTCCCAAGTCAGCAAAAAGGAACAAACAGTGCGAAGCTAAGACCTAAGAGCGATGAATGTACAGCAACTACAACTTTTGTATTGCCATGATTCCTAGTGGAGGTACAGAAGCCCATTGTTTGGAATTCTTTCGCTTGAAACGCACTTCCTGCTGGCTAATATAACTACTCGCCTTGGAATGAGGCCGCCAACAGCGTACTTCTTAGACGGCCTGTAATGTCCATGAAGAATGGCGCTACGCGTGCATCACACCATGTCATCCAATTTCCGCTGCAAAAGGCATACAATCTGTAGTTCCAGAAACTCCCCTATGTGCAGCATGGTTTTGTTGAGAAAGCTCTCCAAACCTCCAACAGGGGGCCATGTCTGCCACGCGTGTGCCAAAACTCACCATCTTTTCGTGTTCCGGGGAAGATCACTGTTTTCAAATGCGTAGGCAAGGGCTATTATTAACCGATATATACTAGCAGGCTTTAGTATCAAGAACCATATTCCTAAAGGGGATTGCCTTCCGCCCGGGGCCATTTGAACTGAAAGCGCTCCTCCAGAATAACTACCATATTACGAAGTGGAAGGAGCGCGAAGCCAGCTTCCCATGTTTGTCTGAATATGCTGATGTCCAAACGGCAACCGTTCACATGCATTTACCCACATATGGAGTTGTACACCGTTGACCCGTTCATGACGGGTAAGAGTTTTCAAAGACGGAGCGGCAACCTGCATCTGGGGAGTGTACTACAATGTACTGTAGGTAAATGGGCTGCTATGCCAGCTAGCATCGCCCAAACGTATGGCTCCGATAAAGCTGTAAGCCAATGCATACGTCGCAATGGTAGCGGGGCACTGCCTACTGAGGATGCGTGTGCAACCATACAGCTAAAGCAACAGCGTTACACTGGCTATAGTCATATCATACTCTCTATCCCATGAAAACACATCGTGGCGATGTGACTGCTAGTATCGCTCTCCAAAACGCTCAGCTACCTACGTGCATGGTGGTCAAGGCGAGGCACCGGTTGGGTCATGACGAATGAACAGCGCACACTGCACCAGCTGCTATATCTGCCTCTCGCCAAGCATCCCCACTTCCACGAAACGTAGCAATTCCTAACGCACTGTCTGAACACTCGAACAACTAGACGAACACTAGCGCGCTCTAGCTGTTGTCTCACTAATTTCTTGACAAACCGTAAATCTGCAACCCGGATAACAAATGGATTGTCACCTTCTGTGATGCTTTCGAAAACAGCCAGCTGCTGAAAAGTGCGTTGTACTGTTCCGTAGAGGCTCACCGTAATTCGCAGAACTTGAAGCATGGAATGCATGGTCTGGACAGTCTGCTGCGGAGCAAATTCCCTACGAGTAGTTGCGGCTGCACTCGAACATTGCTCGTGTGAATCACAGGAAATGGCGCATGACACTACTGCCGCCAGGCATTTGCTTTTCCATTAAGCATACTAGCTGCCATTGCAATGATTGATGCATCCTGTGATCGAATTTGTAATATCGCCGAAATGTGCATACTAGAGAGTCTACAGTGGGACTAGGTAAACAAACGATAGGCAACAACATGATGTTAATGAATGTGTTGGGAGAGCTCCACGCCGCGTCTACTTCGACTACTAGTTCTGGAACGTACGCCAGCTATAGAGGCCTCCGCGTGGTTTATAGTGACCAAACCAAAATCCAAAACAACATAACCCGACGGATGTCCAAGGGAAGCCAACGCTTCGTTCGCACACCTGTCAGGATATCAGCATGCAGTGAAACCATGAAGATCTGTGTCAATTAAACAAGACGCACCAGCTGCAACAACCAGGTCAGGCAAGGTACGAGCCTCAGGGTGAAGAGGTACAATTCGTCTAATAGTACAAAAAGACTAAAGCTGGCAAACCTGAGCCAGCTTGGTGTGAGGAGCCCAAAGTGTCTGACACACACAAACACAAACACAAACACAAACACCTAACCCTAAACACAAACACAAACAACTGACCCTAAAAGCACCAAAACCTAAACACTAGGGTTGGGTGAGTGTGTAAATACAAACACCTAACCCTAAACACAAACACAAACACAAAACACCTAACCTAAAACACAAGCACACACACACACACACACACACACACACACACACACACACGCAAACCCAAACAAACAAACAAACAAACAAACAAACACACAAACAAACACACAAACAAACACACAAACACACACACACACACACACACACACACACACACACACACACACACACACACACAAACACACAAACACACACACACACACACACACACACACACACACACACACACACACACACACACACACACACACACACACACACACACACACACACGCTCGAACGTCAACTAAAATGTATCTTGAGGATTTCCATGACCTGTCGGCAGATGGAGTCAATTGAGGCATCTGGAGCATTACCCACAGACTAAAGAGGGCATTGTGTCTGAAACACAGAATGAAGGTCCTTTTTAATTGACATATAGGCTTTGAGTGCACGTGGCAGAGCACCTGGGTTTGGCAAAACAGCTCGTTCATTGCAGCGACTCCAAGTATCCATACCTTGAATATATCTACGGATTCGTCCATAATACGAATACCTCGGGCCTCGTTGGTATGTGTAGGCAGTAGTCACCGAAATATGCAGCTCACTCTCTGCGATATACCATATTTACGACGGTAGAAAATCTGTCGTAGATATTCGTTCGTGCAATTGTGTGTCATACCACCTTTCCATCACATGTGAGTTAACAGTCTGCGTTCGCTTTTTCATTTGGCATCAGATGTTTTGAGTCAAGGTTGAGCTAAAAGGCCAGCAGGTGCAGAGTGGAGAAGCCTCCTCAGGGTCGGCGGATGTTTTGGTACACCATGAGCTACCTTGAGCTTGTTGAGCTTGGTTGCAGCCACTGCTTCAAGCGCCCTTTCTTCCAGTGAGACACACCAGGAGGCTCTGAGTTCAGGTGTGTGTCGCGGTGAAAACACTTTCTGTGACGAAATCTGCTACCGGTGAAATTGTGCTGCTGTATCCTACTGTAAGCCCTTATCCCTGACAACTCCGGCGGTACAGTTCAACTTTGGCTGGGTGTTCGTTGTGGCTGTGCAGATGTTCCTACCTTTCGCTAATCCAGAAAATGAAGCCTGTATTTTACCAGGAGGAGGAGAGTTTCACCCCCGTGGGATTTGAGAAAACAGTACGTACACTGTAGGGTAACGTAAAGCCCTAAAGCTAAT